GGCTTTGCGGGGGGGGGGGGGGGGGGAAATGTGCAGCCAAGCTGGGCTGCAGGGAGTGGGGTGAGCAGGAACCAGGAAGCATGGTGTGCATCTCAGCTGGGCAGGGGGGGAGAGGGGCAGGAGCCAGAGTGCAGCTGAGCTGAGCTGTGGGGAGATGGGGGGAAGAACCAGGAGTCGGTGTGAGACTCCATTGGGCTGCGGAGGGAGGCAGCTCAGCTGGGCTGTGGGGGGAGCAAGGAAGCCTGTGGGGAGCACAGGGTGGGGAGGCCAGAAATGACCTCTCCTGGTCTGGAAAAATCCCTCATCTGGGACCAGTCAGGTCCCAAAGGTGCCAGATCAGGGTTGTCCAACCTGTATTATGTACTTTTATCTATCATGTTAGTTCCTCAGGTTGTACCATTTGAAATTCCAGAGGCTGGCAGTGGCTCAGTGCAGCCTTCAGATTCTCTTTACATCCCAAGGTCAACAATCGATTATAGCCACTCAAGAGCTTTTTTTATCTAAACTTATATGGGTCCTGTTTGTCAGAACGCGAAACACCGAAAAAACAACTTTCCGTAACTCCAGAAATAGCTATTGCAACCACATGTCAGTTTCACATTTTGTCCAAGCATGACATGACCCAAACAGAAATCTATTCGCTCCAAAGCCTGGAGGGGGTGGTAAACCTCAACGTAACATAGTTGGACTAAAAGCAATATTTGAACAGCTTTCCTTAGAGCAGATCAATGCGTCCCTCATCTTAAAAGATCTATTCATCAGCTGTGTTTTATTTGTAGCTTTACCAACCCAGGAGATAAGTGAATGACGTGACCATCTTTCACAGTCACTTCTTATTCCATTCAACAGGAAATGACTTGTGTATCTATATCTATTTCCAGAGCCCAGCCCAGCATCCAAGTCTAGTTCCACATAGATCTTTTAGTACTCAACATGTAGCAGCATGTTCTTTCCACAAAGCTGTTCTATACACAGTGGAGGCTAAGAATGGATTGTTCAAAGCCAGTTTCAGCAGCAGATAAAGATCCAACTGTCAATAGGGCAGACTTTCTACCCTGAGGAGCCCCCATGGACTAACCTGCAGATTCAGATAAACAAAGGTATTTCATTTTCTGAGTGACCCTGTTGTTGGGAAGTGTGGATAAACTGAGAAAACTGCTGTAAAAACCCACCTGGGGCACTAAACAGTATCATGGATTATGGCTTTTGCAAGTTGGAGGTGATCACAAGACCTTATCCAAACACACAACCTGAACTGCTGTAACTATACCAGTATATAAATCAATATAAACGTGCTTTATAGCTGTAGTATGTATTGCTATATGAAAAGGGAAATAAACTATACTGGCATATGGCACCTTTACACTGATATAAAATGTATCCACACGGTGGGCTGCACTCTCTCCAGTTTGGTCCCATCTTTTTTTAAAGAAGGGTGCCCAAAACTTGACATAATATTCCAGGTGAGGCTGCACCTGTCCTGAGTAGAGCAGCACAGTTCGCTCATTGTCTTACATGGAACACTCTTCTTAATACACCCTAGAATGTCAGCCTTTTGTGCACCTGCGTGATGTTGTTGACTCATTCATTTAGGGTACGTCTAAACTACCTCCCTCTGTCGGCAGAGGGATGTAAATTAGACATATCGAAAGTGCAAAAGAAGCAGCGATTTAAATATCCGTGCTTCATTTGCATAAAGGCAGCTGATGCTTTTTTTTTTAAACAGGGCTTTTAAAAAATGGCAGTTTAGATGGGACATTAGAGTACAGGATCTCTCAAAATGGGGCATTTCTGTCAAAAATGCCCCATCTAAACTGCCGGGGGTGTTTCGAAAAGTCCCGTTTCAAAACAAAAAAAAAGCAGTGGACAACATTATGCAAGTGAAACATGGGATATTTAAATCCCGGCTTCATTTGCACTTTTGATACATCTAATTTACATCCCTCTGCTGACAGAGGGGTGTAGTTTAGACGTTTGAGTTTCCAATATAACTCGCAGATCCTTTTCTGCCATGCTATGGCCTAGCGAGTTATTCCTCACTTTGTAGATGTGCGTTTGATCGTTTTCCTTTCCCAAGTGTAGTACTTTGCATTTGTCTCTTTTGAATTTCATCTTGTTGATTTCAGACCAATTTTCCAATTGATCAAGGTTATTTTGAATTCTTTTCTTGTCCTCAAAGTGCTTGCAACCCCTCCCAGCTTGGTGTCAACCATAAATTGTATAAGTGTACTGTCCACTTCATTATCCAAGTCACTGATGAAATAATTGAAATCTATGAGTCTTTTTGTATCTGACCTACAGAGGCTATGAATCTATTGCAGGTCTCAGCTTGGCTGTCTATTTCTTGTTGTTGTTGTTGTAGTTTTTTATTCATGTTGTAGAGACCATACGTACGAGAGCTATGGCTGCACTATCTGGCTTGAAGTGCTTCTATCATGTACAGGGTTAGCAGCTTCATTCAATGGCTTTTGGGCCTTGTCCTTACAAATTGTTCCAGCACCCCAGGAGAACCTCAAGCTTTCAGCTACAGTGGTTCACAATTCAGTCTATACGTGATAAAATGGCCGCCATCATAATTACCTGCTTATTATCAAGGTGGAGTGTAAATTTCCATTCACATGTTGTACTTGGTCAGCAGTGTCAGAATGCCCACTGCAATGGGACACTATTGTGCTGTGATATTTAAGAACACCACCATGGAGCTAACATTACTGTTACCGCAACTTCATTATGCTGATCTAACATAATGAGAAAGTGCCTCAATCCTATGACAAGAGGTACTAGAGAGACCCAGTCATAATTCATATTAAGAGTACATTTATAAATAGTTTGTAAAGACTTAACTAATGATTAATAGATGGCTTAATCACGTGTTACAGCTTGATAGAGTCCAATCAGTTTTTTTATAATAATCCCATAATGCCTTCTACTGATGTCCTGAATAAGAGGGCCTGGGTAGGTCTGATAACCAGACCTTTGCACTGTACAGGCACTTCTCTGAAACTACTATCTTATTCATCTGCAGCTCAGCTTCCCCTCCACCCCTTCCAGGTGTTTTAGTTGTAAAGAAAACCTCTCAAATGGCATGGACTGTAGCCAGTGCAAAGATGCCTAGGTGACTCTGAAAGAGCTCTGACAGGTGCGAATTGCCCCATTCATCCCCGTGAGGTGTGAACCAGGACACCCAATTGAGTGTTGACACTGTTAACTATTTCATTCCCTATGTAAAAGAGGAGAGGCAGGGTCACATATCTTTATAATTTCATAGGAGCAACATATCATTTTGATACCACAAATGGGCAGGAGGTTCCACTGCTTATATTTTTCCCTTCCAGTCAAGAAGGATCCAGGCCCAGAAGGACAGCAGATTTCATGGACATATTGAAGCCTCACCAAAGGGAAACCTAGCTCAAAGAGCCAAATGGATGTCAATCAACTGAGAGGGGTTTGATTTTGATGAGTCAAGTGAGCAATGCTTATTGGGTGGGGAGAAGCTAGATGAGTACCAACAAGAGTATCTGATCCAAGTCTATAGTACATACTACTCACATCTGTACACATGTATCATCTATTACTCTCTTATTAATCCTTTGTAAGCTATTTATAAACATGTCCTTCATATAAAGTGTGACCAAAACTTCTTGGAGAGTTAGGGCTTTTCTCCACTACACCAGGGATCAACACTGAAGCAATTGATCCACCAGCTTTCATTTTAGCGTGTCTGCTTAGACATGATAAATCGTCCTCTGAGCTCTCTCCTGTCAATGCCAGTACTCCACCAAAATGAGAAGAGTACCTAGCATTGACAGGAAAGCAGCCCCCCCCCCAACCTTAATGCACACAAGACACTGAAGTAAGTATGGGGACTTCAGCTATGCTATTTGCTAGTAGGTCAACTGTGGGGGTTAGTGTAGACGTGGCTTTACAAAGCTTGGGTCTGCTGTCATTGAACTCAGTGACAAAACTCCCACTGACCTCAATGGAAGGAGGATCATGCCCACCGTCTAGTTTTAATTGGTGTAGGCCAGACCCATTTTCAAGAAGCTGGATGTGGGTGTTGCTAAATTCTTCTATGACTTGTATGTCCTTGAAAGTGACAATATACTGATGAATGCTTCTTGAATGCCCATTTGCTTTTCCATGACATTCATCCTCAAGGTTTAAAATATTGCTCTTGAAAATGGAGTTCACTGATGGTAAAACAAATACATTGTTCCATTCTGGGATATGCTCTGTAAAATTGATCTGTCCCAACTGAAATCAGCAAGGAAACAGGAGTCCAAGAGGAGAAATGAGAACAACGGGTACCTTGTGCTGAAACCAGCTGAAGCATCAAACACATTTCGTAAGCAAGGAGTACAGCCAACTCTATCACTACGGTTTTATAAAGCTAACTTCAGTCAGTTCATATTGAGCTGTGGCTGTGTGATTTGCTCTCTTAGCTGCTATAGAGACTTTCTGGAAGCTTCTCATTAGCTTTTGAATAGAGACATGGCACAAACTGGACTTCTAATTTTTCTCATTACCATACTACTGCTGGATCAGACTACTAGCCAGGCTTCCAAGTTCAGAGCCAGAAAGCACAGTAAACGTAGAGTGAAAGGTAACTGGTTTAATTGGGGGGAGTATATGCAATGGGCATTTACAATATTCTTAAATATTATTTGAGTCAGTGGTTAATATTTTTAAAATGTATTATGGAAGGGTATTTGTGCCTATATTTACTCTGTTTAGAGAGAGGATTTTGTACGCATTATTTGGGTTACAAGTACTAATAAAGCAAAGTTTAATGTGACAAATTGTATTGCATAAATTTAGAATTAGGATAGAGAACCAAATAGTGTCCTCTCGACTCCATTGACTTTATTTGAGATTTTGAGTTATAATTGAGTTTGTAGTTTGGCCCATGATCTTCAGGTATGTATTAAATAATAGATATATAATGGATGTATTATATAGTGGAATGTCATGTGCATCTGATCAAAACATGCTGAATAAACTAACAGATTTCCATGGATTATTGTTGGGATTTATTTTCTATGAGCTAAAAAAGTTTTATAACTTTTAAAATGAGATATTTGTAGGCTCTTCTTCTGTTCTAGCTATTTGGAGAGTGTTGTACAATGACAGACAAAGGGAGCCAGGAGGAACTGGTGAGAAAGGTTTAGTTTCCCAATAAAAATATACAGTGCAAAGATGAAAACCTTGAATACTGTTGGGAAATGTGTATTTGATTTAAAAGCTTACCTCCCATTTTTTTTAGAAATCATAATATAGGCTACGCAGTTGGTGAATGTTTAACTTTTCATGAAAAATAAGCATCATACAGAAGTCCATTTCTTGCTGTGTTCACACAACTCTGAAAGTAAGAAGTCTGTATGATATTTGTTTTCCTTTTCAATGACTCTGTCTAGTTTTGAGTGGCTTATACCATGCTGATTACCATGATAGCTCAGAGCCCTGATTCCTCTTGTAATCTAAGGCTATGTCTACACTGCTGGGCGGGAGGGGGTTGGAAAAGGTACACAAATTGTGAACAGCAATTTGCGTACCTTTTTCCGATGTGTGTGGGGGGGTTGTTTGTTTTTTGGGGTTTTTTGGAAGTGGCTTTTCTGACATTTGGCCCATCTACACTGGGCTAAATGTCGGAAAAACCTCCTCTTTCAGAAGAGCCATTATTCCTCAGGGGAATAAGCCAATTTTCAGTGAAGACACTTTCACAGTTAAGTGAATGCAAGTCCACTTACATCAGACCATGTATCTTAGACTAGGCCTCAGATGTAAAGCCAAAACCAAATCTCTTCAGCATGCCCCAGTAACATAATAACTGTGTCTGAATTGATAGTTAAACAGCACATTAAAAAGTTGGATTTAAGTGATCTACCATGACATTTCATCAAAATTGTATGAGTATTTACCTAAGGAGAATGCAATTCAATATAAACCAATGTGGAAAATAGTTAGCTATCATATTAATACTATACTTAAGTATGGGAATTAATTTTACTAAACTTGTGTTGTTTAAAATAGTTAAATATGCAATTTTTTTGTTTATGAATATTTGTTGCTTTATGTGCAACCTGCATAAACTTTATGTTGGTATAATCTCGCTGATTTCAATGTAAGAAGATCCACGGGTGTCACAAAGCACAATCAGACCCAAGTGAACATTTTGTTTGGCTTGTAATTATTACTAGAATTGTGATTTTTTTTATAGTATTTAAATGATTGCTACTTAATGCTATTGCATTATAGCATTTTAATTATCTCTGAATATTGTGATTACTCTGATTTGTCTCCCATATGAAGAACTATGCAAATCTCATTTGCATGGAAGCCCATGATATTTTAAAAGAGCTTCTAACTTAAAGACATTCCTGAATGTGTATATTTACTTATTTATGTATTTGTTCATTCATTTAAGAAAAGGATGGTGAGCTAAAGACTCAGATTGACAAGCTGTGGCAAGAAGTAAACTCCCTGAAAGAAATGCAGGCACTTCAGACAGGTAAAACGTTTTATGAGCCTGTTTTTAATAGGAAATGTCACAAAACCTTCTTTGATTAAACCAAACATTCTCTGATCCTCACTATAATGTTCAATGGGGAATCATGCTTCTTTGACGGTGGGGTTAGCGATGTGACACTGAGATATGGATAACATCTTCCACTTGATGAAGTCAGCAATGACCTGAATTTTGGAAAGCTATACCATCATGCCTTGTGGTCTATTACTGGGGAAGCATAGCCAAAAATACATGAGATTTAATAAATGAGGCTTGTGCAAACAAAGCATTGAATGTAATCTCTCTCTTTTGAAGGACATTTCACTTGAAATTAGCATTTGAAGGGAGGCGGGTGGTGAGAAAAATGACTGGAAATGAAGCCCTAAACAGTTTTATGTACTCGGTATGTTATTTTGCCAGTGGTGATATTTATCTATAAATTGCCCAGAGATTTGAATTATGAATTTCCAATCAATATCTGATGGTCAGGACATACTGAATTAACCTTTCAGCACCTTCTGTCTTCCATTTATTTACTAGGGACTAGACTTAGCTAATGCATAACATGCTTTACTTTGGCACTTAAATGTCACAAGTATGAAAAGACCTTTAGATACTTGTCTTTGGTGTAAAGCCAAGAATACACCTACTTCCTGACAACTAAACAAGCTCTGCCAACAATATAAACATCCATTTCTCCTCAGCGTATGCTTTGAACCCGATGAGGTGAAGTCAAATGCGTAAAGTTGGCAGTTGGAAGTATTTACAAAAATAAATGAAGTTAAATAAACAACAGGCCTAAATCGCTTTTGTGTGTACATGTGCTCTCAAATAGCAGCATAAAGAATCCTTGAGGAAATTTAATTCCTGGGTGTATCCAAGGCCGAGAATGGTCCCCAAAGTAGGTTAGTATAAAAAGCTTGAAGATGAGATTTTCAATAGCTCTTTCTGGAGTTAACCTCACAAGTCACAAGTGGGATTTCCAGTGGGACTTGGGGCCTCATTTTCTTGGGGACTTTTAAAAATCTCCCATTAAAAAGTCAACTCTGTTCTACAGTGACCCTAGCCACTTTACCAGCCTACATGGAAAATATTCTTGGAGCTCCCCACACCTGCAAAAACCTGCCTACAAACAGCCAAATGCACACAATGAAAAAAACCAAAAAAAACAAAGAAAAGTTGAATAGGTGTGAGCTGCTCTCCTGCCTCTAGAACTGGTCCAAACCCTATTTTAATATGTTATTTTGTTTCTTTACATGTTCAACCATATCTATTCGCAGTCTGTCTTCGTGGAACAAAGATCTATAAGAAGTGCTACCTGGCATCAGAAGGTGCCAAGCACTTCCATGAAGCTAATGAAGACTGCATTGCCAAGGGAGGGACACTGGCTATCCCCAGAGATAATGAAGAAACTAACTCTCTTCGAGACTACAGCAAGAAAAGCCTGCCAGGGGTTGCCGATTTTTGGTTAGGTATCACTGACATGGTAAACGAAGGGAAATTTGTTGATGTCAATGGGATGGCTCTAAACTATTTCAATTGGGATCGCTCGCAACCAAATGGGGGAAAGCGTGAAAACTGTGTCTTGTTTTCCCAGTCATCTCAAGGCAAGTGGAGGGATGAAGTCTGCTGTACTGTCAAAAGATATATTTGTGAATTCCTGATCCCATAATTCCATTCCCATTAGCTGCATCAGTGTATTTGGTTATTAAGATGCAGTTTTTGCATGGGAGTAATTCCTCTCTCATACAGCAGTCAGTTGTACACACATCCCACAATACACAAACTTCACACTAAGCAAGAATTTTCTTTATTAATTTATTTTTCCATTCATTGGTTAAAAAGGTTGTATTTAGTGAGGTCTTTCACCATGCAACTGTCACATATGCTGTATGTGAATGTGCATAAAGTTTGGTTTTGAGATGTAGTGCATAATATTTTGCCATACTCTCACAGTATGATGTTCATCTTATCAACATCGTAAAGTCAAACCCCATCACTCAGACTCATACAGTAAATATCTCTATAGATTAGTCTTTGCTTAAACTCCATGCAGCACTCTGGTCAATATATATGGAAGTTCCATACATAGAATGTTCACAAGCGCGTGAAGATTGCTAGCAAGAGGCTATGGAAGCTTAAATAGGACTTTAGTGCAGTGGAACTCAACAACGTGGCTCTGAAATGAGATGTTGATCTAAAGGAAGAACAAATGAATAAAAGCTAATGTTATTCTGAAAGATTATGGAGTTTAAAATGACACTTTTCTAGAAAATGGGGAAAATACTTCCACCAGTGAATGAGACATCAGCCTGACTAGAAATGTTTGCTTCCACTTAGATTGTTTGTATTCTTTTTAAATGTAATGCATGTTGTTTAGAATGTTCTTCTGCCCATTCTGAAATTTAATGTCAGGGCGAGAGTATGCTTTTAGCTTGCCCTCCATAATAAGGAGCAGAGAACAAGCATACCACCCAGAAGGAGCAGTTTGCTCAAAAACATATTGACTTCTGAGGCTCCGTGATTGCATTGCAGAGGAGTAATTTATAGCACCCTTTTGTAGGTAGGTTGATAGGAAACCAGTTCCATTGCTTGGCATATAGGGATGGAAGAGCCATGGATTCACCTGTAGGCCATGGATTCACCTGTATTACATGGAAATATCTAGGGCACAGCCTCTGCACCCACCCACGGATGAGCCTGGCAATTAACACAGCCCAAAGAGAGGGGGACTCTAAGGCTACGTCTACACTGTTGGCTTTTGCCAGCAGAGAGTATGCTAATGAAGTGCTCATTAGCAACTTTTTGCGCTTCATTTGTATAATCTCTGCCCAAAGCTTTTTGCGCAAGAGGTTTTTGCACAAAAACTAGCAGTGTAGATGGAACCATTTTGTGGGGAAAAAAACCCTTTTGCATAAGATCCTTATGCCTCAAAAAAGGAGATATGCAGATCTTGCGCAAAAGGGGTTGGGTTTTTTTTGCACAAAACTGATCCATCTACACTGTTAGCTTTTGTGCAAAAACCTCTTACACAAAAAGCCTCGGACAGAGATTATGCAAATGAAGCATGAGAAGTTGCTAATGAGCACTTCATTAGCATACTCTCTGCAGGCAAAAGCCAGCAGTGTAGATGTAGCCTAAGATCCTACCTACATCTCTGTGAGCCTCATTAGTCAGGGGACAATCTAGCCACATTAAATGCTAGCTGTGAAACTGTTTTGTATGTATTGGTCATTCAAAAGATATTGTCCTTGTGCTTCTGCTCTGACTTGCTTACATGCAAATTTCCAGTTAAAGCACCTGATGTTTTCAGCGTGGAAGAATTACACTTTTTTTTGGCTGTTCTTAATCTTTCAAAAGAGCTGTGAATAGTGAATAACTTCTATTCATTTAGAGAAATGCAAACCAAAGAAAAAAAGAAGACAGCCATATACTTTTCTTTGCAATCACGCAAATACTACAATCCAATGAAGTTTGCAAATCATCTCTTGCATCCTAAAATCTGTTACTTGGAAGTCAACTCTTAGTTTTCCTTTTAATTGTACAATACATCTTTAATTGCCAATAAATCAAACACTATCGGGTTTTTGTTTTTGAGAACACGCAGATGTACAATCAGCACTTCAAAAATATACAAGGTTACATGCATTGTGGTTCTGTAAACATTGCGTACACATCTTGTACAAGAGAGAATTCCATCAACATCTGTGAATTCCATCTCAAGAGGCATTGACAAGATGGTATTCAGACACAGATTAGATTTGGGACAGGGCTTAGATTCATGTTCAAAGCCAAATCTGGGCTAATGAGTTTGTCACCAAAATCTTGTAAGCCTCTGGCCCAAAATACTAGAAATCATGAGAGTTCAGCTCTTCTTGTGACATTTTTGTCATCTTGAGTTCAGTTTCTCATGTGACTTCAGCAGCATCAAATACAGAAAATAGGCCACTTCTGAATTCAGATCAACTCAAGAACTAAAAGCATTGTAGCAGATGTGGGGTCAGTGATCCAGGATAAAGAATCCATTTCCAGTTGTGCCACCATTAGCATTTGTAAGTGGAAGCTGATAGCTCTGGATAAATGTTTTGTTCATCCACAGATCTCTCTAGCCAGCAAGGGTCAAGGTCACATAATTACTCACAAAGTAATCACCATTAGGCTGATTTTTACCCGGCCAGGAGATCACCAAAGATAATGCATGGTACTGCAGGAAATGGTGCACCACTCTTTGATAGGTTCACTCTTCCCATTGATCTAGCACTCCAAATGGACACTAGAGGACATATCAGTGGGATCATATTCCAGGTAAAATGCTATGCCAAAACCCTGACCACATCTAATCATTTGCTGCCCATCACCCTTATCAGAAGAGTAACAAAAATCAATGTGAGTTCCACAGGCAGATTTCACTGTGGATCATTAGCTAATTAAACTCTCCCGCAGTATCAATCAAATAAGCTTTTTTCTTCTTCTTCCCCTGTTGTGTTGTGTTGTGTGTACTGTCAAACAACTGCCTGCTTCCATTCCAGTAGTGGCCAATGATGCCTGCACATATGGAACCATTTAATACATCTATAGTTATTCTGACTGCACCTTCATTGGTGAAATAATTATTTCTCTAGATGAGGAACCTTCAATAGATGCTTGATTGTCCACCTTGCTAGCCAGCCTCCAAATTAACTTGCTTTGCTCCCATAATTTATCAGGACACTCTGCACTCTACTAGCATCTTAGAAGATGCTACAATCCTCATTTGGTTTTGTGATGTAAATAAATGGAGAGCCTGTCAGTAGTTTGATTTGGTCTTGTGAGTGCCTATTCATTGGGTTAGTTATTATAGTTTTTCCAGATATATTTATATAATTAAGTTCAACATGTAATTTCACCACAGTTTTGGAAACCTAGTCACATGTGCAGTAGCACAACTATCTACCAAATTCCAAGGGGTTATTCTTTATTTTGACTCAATTTCCATCCATTTACTTTTGATAGCAGCAATATAAACTGACTGTGGACACCACGGGGGACATTTTTCTACATATAGCCTGTTTATTTGTTTAACAAAGTGTGTGACATAAGTGCCAATTAATTACTTCAAAAAGTTAGAGCTTGTATGAAAGACTCACACTTAGATGATTTGTCTAATAACTGGAATGTCTGAAGTAGACCAGAAAGAGAGGGTGAAAAGGCAGGTCAAAGAGGATGGAATGGTTGGCAGGAAGTTGAGGGTGGGCAGCAGGAAGTGGGCAGGGGAAGGAGAGGAGCAGGACAAAGGAGGAATTGGAAAAGATGGAGAGGAGGAAACAGAGTGATGGTAAGAGTCAACTAGTGGTAACTGGATCAAATCAAAGACTATTCCTCTTCCCCTATTCATTCACATCCATGAATGGGTCACTTGCTGAGCTGCACAGAGCTTTGCAGATGTGGCTCTAGAGAGCAGTGACTACAGAGTCCTAGAAGGACCTTGTTAAGTAGCACAGAGGATCCTCTTCTATTGCCCCCAGCCTCACTCCTCCACCCAGACTACCGCATCCTGCAGACACTATTAAGCAAAGGCACAGAGATGAGTACCGTCCTATCTGCACAGAAAACAGAGCCAGAGTTCACCTCTTTGCTCCTCTCTCTCCAAGAGGGAGAGAGAAGGGTCTGAGAGCACTAACAAGACACAAGCTGCCACATTCCTCTGCCTTTCCTCTAACTGTGATCATGGAACATATTGCATGGAGCCAGAGTGACGTGATGGTAGGCGCTGAGTGTTTGATGCCTGATGAGGAAACAACCTGTCCCAGATGGTGTGAATGACTGAGAGCCCAAAAGGGGAATGTATTTCCTAACCAAGTAGCCTAAGCTCTATGCTGTAGCTGCAGAATTGAAGAAGACTCCACTTTTATCCCACAATGATGAGTGAAATGGAGAAAGCTCCCAAAGCAACACTCTGTGCTTGGGTTCAAGGTAAAAGGGACAAGATGGTGAGCAGCAGGAACAGCATTGAGCCACAGGCCTTGAGTAGTCATGGTACAGTGGGACTCACACTTGTCTTTATATAATCACAGCTTGGGGAACACTGACATAAATCCCACTCTCTTTGAAAGAGAGGGTAAAGCTCTTTTGAAGAATTCTTGTCCCAAGTACTCAGATGCTACTGGGACGGAATCTGTAGAAGCATCTTGACAGACAAAATAACTAGCCATCACACATGTAACCATCAGCTTCATGTAGCATGGAGACTCTAATTGACTATTTCTTCTCCTTTTTCCCACTCCCTATCCCTTATTTATTTTGAAACTGGATCTTTAATAACTCCATTCATCTGAAGAAGTGGGTTGTGCCCACAAAAACTCATGATACCATCTACATGTTTTGTTAGTCTTTAAGGTGATCCATGACTATTTGTTGTTTTTTAAGTTTAGCCACCAGACAGGCGGGGGAAATTATCCATTTACAAATTTCTTTTTTTCCAACTTTTCTATGCTTTAAATAGTTTGATTCTTCATCTATGGTTGCTAAGTATAATTAATTGCAAGGCATTAATTAACTTTTTATTTTACTTTGATTATTAGTGAAATAATTTAACACAAAAATAAAAACAAGTAAACTATTGATGCCTGGTTAAAGAAAATCAAAATGGGACAAATAGTATATCAGATTCAACACAATATAAAACTATTTCCAAGTCATGCAGTGATCATGCAACTTCTGTTCTTCATGCTCAAAAAATGAGACCAGCCTTTTAAGAATTTAGCTTTTATTTTATCATACATATAATCACTTCAAAGTTATTTTCATTTCAAAATGTTGGAAATGGAACAATGAATAGTTTTTTTGAGTATTTTTTTAATGTTCACCATTTGTATTGCAAATGTTAATGAACTCATAGACATTTTGGCTACATCTACATTGCGCTTCCTTGCACAAGAACGTATGAAATGAGGCATGGCGATGAATATTGCCGCACCTTATTTTCATACTTAATGAGCCTCCATTTTTGCTCAAGGGGCTTTTGCACAAGGAGGAGCAGTCTACAGTGCTCCTTCTTGCGCAAAAACCCTCTCTTCCGCAAGAGCCATTCTGCCTGGAAATAAGCGGCAAAATGGCTCTTGTGCAAAAGCCCCTTGCGCAAAAATGGCAGCTTATTAAGTATGCAAATGAGGTGTGGCGATATTCATCCCAGTGCCTCATTTGCGTATTTTCTTACACAAGAGAGCGCAATGTAGACATAGCCTTTGTGTTTGCCCAAAAC